ACTAGAGGTATATCCTGGAGCAATTTGATACTGACTAAAACACATCCCGCGAGGTAGCGGCATGCATCATCAGAAAAAAGACAATTTCAAAGTAGAAACGTATCTCAGTCTTACATTAAACGTGTCCATTTATTTTCACCTCTTAGAACTTGCTTTTTTGGGCAAAAACGATAGCGTTTGTCAGGGTTGCATATTCTCTTAGGTAAAGAACGCCCAGAGACACCCCCCCTTTTTTTTAAAAATACTCTACACCCCGCCGCCTTTCTTTCAAATAAAGGTTCAGAATAAGAGTTTAGGGTACAATTCTAATTTTAAAATGTAAAGGCGAGCCGATTTCAAATTTTACCTGTAACTCCGAAGTAGGGGGCTCAAATCTAATTTGGGACCCATATTCTTCCTTCTTGGATTGTCTCTTCTCTGGTCGGTGTACCTCTTTGACCAGACTTATGCAGCAACCTTCCAAAGTAGGACCGGAGTTGTTTGTTCAACAGGATTCCCATGCGATCCAAATGTTGATTAGTCCGTATCTGCTTTCTCGCCAGTTTTGTACGCCTACGCCCACCCCCTTCCCCCTTTTTTTTCCTCCAACAAGACCAACCCAGTCTGACTGAAGTAGCAGTTGAAACGTTTTATCGTTAAAATGACTTGATTAATGTTGAAAATGGCATAAATGTCTTCTCAGAGCAAGTGATGGTCACATGTGTGTAAGGACAAGGGAGACCAATTATCCCATTCCTAGTGAGCAGGTTCGGATGAAAAGGGATCAAGAGCTGAGCCTCTGGTTAATTTGTGCTAATTACAGTGAGCGCAGTGCGGTCATTCTAGTCCTTGATCAATGAAGAGGTCATCGATAAATGCGCGCTTTTGTTTCATCTGGATCAAGTCCAACGTTTAGAGGGTGGGGTTCTGGGCAAATAAAGCCTGTACCCTCTAAGACACATGTAGCTCATTCTCTAAATGAAATTTTCTTGGAATTTCACGTTCAATTTTATTGAAGTTGCCTTCAACGCTGATTAAAATGTTTGTTTCCCCAGTTCCTAAATAGAAGTTCTTTTAGAACAAGCTCACCTCACACTTTTTGTATACAGGACATGTCGCCTTTCAAAATAATAACTAAAGGTGCACTATTATGGCTATCGCAAGCAGCACTCTTAAGGCGGCTCTTTCTGGGTATCAAATAAAAGACTGACATTGTTTGTGCCTCAGGCTTTGGTGCATGTGATACAGAGTAATTACAATAGGTGAAAGACCGG